CCGTATACTGGTTTTTTGACTCTCAGAATAACATTAGTACTTCCTAAATAAGCCTTTATAGGCGTTTACTTTAAGTGAGCAAACAGGAAAAAAGTTGCAAAAAGGACTTCCTCCTAGGATTTCTACAGCAGCTCAGTAAAAACCAGTGAAGCAACAGTTCAGTTTTACTCACATAGATCGAGTCTTTCTCTCTGGATAGCAACATGGCCACAAAACTACCATCTCAAGAGGAATTTGAGAACTGGACAGCTTTTCAAGTTGCAGATCTCCTAAGACAGGTACTGAATGTCTATGTAACACTTTAGACAGTCCAGTCTACATTCAACTAGCAGAAACTCTTACTGGATTTATCTTTGAAAAAGAGATATCTTATCCTAAATCTAGCACAGATATTCAAAAGTAATGAAAATAGATTAGTCAGGACTTGTCACCCCCCAAGAAATTATTATTATTACTTGAACTTCTTGGTGCTCTCCTGGTTTTTGTAGAAATTTAATTCATGGCAGAAGCTGCTGGCTAAGATTTCCTATGTGGCAAATCACATAAAAATTATTGCTCACAGGGATATTTCTTATAACAAAAAAGGTATTTCATGCCCCAATTTATTTTCTGCTGGGAAGAAATAACCATTTCACTGAAAGTGGGTCTAGGCTTTATATTTGAATATTACTTTAAAATTAACTGCTTTTCAATAGGAATCTACTGTTCATCTTTTCTTCTCAATGCATATATATCCACAGTAGCTGCTAGATGTTGCATAAGTTTAAGGTACTTGACTTTGGGGGTTTTTTAATCATTTCTTTGTCTGTTTGTACCTCTCCTAGTTCTGCACTGTTCTTTCCAGTATACGTAAAATAACACGAATTGCACAAAATATTCCAAGCTTGTCTTCAGTCTTCCTTTCATTACTTGAATAATCTCCTCCAAGATACATAACACATATCCTCCATGAGGTATCCTTTTTTTGATATCAGCTTTTTCCTTGTAATTTACTGAATACTATGACTCAGGGTTTAGACTTCTACCTGTAAGTAACTTACACAATAAAGTCCGTTCACTGCATTTTGATATGTAATCTCATTTTACATTTCCTTATGCATTTTTTAATGCAAGTTTCTCTATATAATTTTATAAATAGGAATTTTCTGTCTTGTGTTCATCCTACTTCTAACTGTAGAAGCACTCATCTTTTCTGGTTCCTCCTTTACACCAACAGTGAGAATTCATTCTCATTAAGGTTTCTCCCCCTTTTCAATTGAAGCACTATACAATATTTTTCACAGAAAATAATAGTGTTATGAATTGTTTCTACAAGAGTTCCATTTGTAGCCACATAAAAAGTAGGCAAAAGTTTAAAATGTGTGGGTTTTATTATTATTTTTTCCATTTTGCCTTGTGCATAAATACATACATTCATGCGTGTACAATTAAAAAATTTAAAAAAAAACTACAAACAACAGTGCAGATGTATCACAGGTAGACCATTGTCCCTGTGCTTTCTGTTCCATGGAATTAATTCATACCATAATAATAATGTATCAGCTAACCTGTGAACTTATTACTGTGTACAGCTACTCAGAGGATTAATTAGCTCAAAGTCTTTCAGCTTAAAGGAAATCAGACTAATTACTAGAAGATATAATGATTTTAAAGTACTCTGCAATTCTACAGCAGAATACAAGACAGAAATTAATAACAATTGTTCAACAATTCAGAGACTTCCAGGGAAATGTCAGCAGGCACACCATAAGTACTGGCTTCATACTTAAGAGAGAGTCTTACAACTTTATAAAAAGCTGTTCATGCTTATACTTACACTCATATCACTGATTAAAGCAGCTAAGTGATCTAATTACTACAGTATAACCAACATGATGTGCTTGGCCATTCCGCATATCAAAGACTAGCATTGGGGAGTAGCAGCCATTTGCCTGCGGCCACCTCGTACAAAGCTGTTCAAGTCCCACTACCAGTGTTCCAGGGAGCCTGCACACCAGATACTACCATCCTTCCCACTGGCAGCCAACATGCCAAGGGCTGTGCTGGATCCCTGCCAGAGACTGGGCATACATGTACATGAACCCAAAAATAACGTGGTTAAGGTTGCAGAAACAAGCACTCAATGCTAAATGTGCCAGAAGTGGGATTTCCTCTCTCACGTGAATTTGCCGCCTTTTACATGCACATAATGACATTCTGTAATTGCTTCTTCATGTGCTACCTTTTCTATTCACAAAAACCTGCCTCTTTCAATGCAGAGAAACCTGTATGTTTTGTGTACAACTCTGGGCTGTCACAGAAATTCTAAGGTGCACAAGGCTAGGACTTGCTGAAAAGAGACAATGAATTCATGGTAATATTGATTCAATTCTGCCTCAAAATATCAGATTCTGTCACTGCCCCAGCTCTGCATTTTTACCTGAAGCCATGCATTTCCTGAGTTCTTGACTTGAAATTCCAAGCTCTGATTTCCAGAAGTGGTGAGAGTTGAGAGTTGCAACCACAGTGGCAGCTCTGCTTAGAAGGTAAAAATTCCAAAATATTGAATATACAAATATACATGTATATCTTACAGATCCTAAGTAGCTGTAGCTAGGCATCCAAAACCACTGGATACGGTATGAGTTTTATTTCTCATGTACCTCAACTCCCCTTACCAATAGAGTTTTCATCTCACAGGGTGGTCTAAGAAAAAGTAGTTAATTGGTGTTTCTGAAGCACTCAGACAATTTTAGAAAGAGTGCTGTAGAACAGCTCACAACAAAAAAACTCAAATCATTCTGGGTTCAGAGAAGTTTCGAATACTGTGCCATACAGGTGCACAAGATAGCAGCTGAGCAGTGAGCACTGAACAGAATGTAATATATTGAACAGCAGTTCAGGAAAGGCAGATCAGCTTTTATGTGCTGTGGCTGTGTCTGGGTCTTCTAGCAGAGGTATACTGAGGTTAGTTCCGTAATATATATGTTCAAGGTGCATGTACATATGTACAGTGCAATTTTAGCATTTCCTTAACAGTCTTAATAATGTTTCCAAAACAGGTATTTCTGTGTCATAAGTACAGAAGTTATTAACTAGCCTTTCTGCAATGTGTTTCCAGCCTCATGAAAGGTATTTTGTATCAAAGTAATAACTTCACTACTAAAAAATAATTATCCCTATTGATTTTGGTTTTTTCTCAGAAATAAGTGAGGGTAAGAATTGGAAACTTCTTAGATATGGGCATGTACTTCCATGTTATCTTGCATCTGTAATATATATATATAATTACAACAGCACTGAGATATTCCATGTTGTATTCAGTGTTTATCTACTTGGTCTCCATTTGCCATGTAGCCTAGTTCCTCTCCTTAGTGCTGATCTTAATGCTATGGAGTTACTGTATTTGTAAGAAAATGAAAGGTTCAGTGGTCATCACTGAACACCAGAAGTGAGACATCTGTTTGTCTGACAAGCTAACCATGTGAAATTTTCCATCACACAAGTTACATGCTTGATTAATAGCATAAGGCAAAGCACAAAAGCAGCTCATCAGAGCCAATAACTGGAGACAGAGCCAATAACTAGAAATAGATAGCAAAAGCCATGAGCAGAAATTGTGCATTACCTTGATTCTTTGCCTCTCCACCAACACCAGTGTAACCGATGGCAAATGCACACATCCCATAACCAACCATTGGTCCAACACCCACAGCAACTCTCTCCTTTGAACTGTGATCTATTCTGTACTGCAAACTAGCAGCACTCTCCCAGTCCTAGTACAAAAGAACAACTTATAAACTCAAGCATATTGGCTTGTAGGCCAAACAGTCTGAATATATGTCTGAATATGAAATTTTAGTTTAAGTAGATAAAACACACTTTGACTGTTTTTAAGCATGATCAGTCTTAAGTTTTCTAGAAATAAAGAATTTCATTGGAAAAAACACATAAATATTTCCATTAGAATAATTTATTTTCACTAATATTTCTCTGTTAGTGTCTGAGTTGGTCATTACTGCTACAGAAATTTGCAGCTAAGCATTACAAATACTAAAACTCATTTCAAGAGTGGTACATTCTTAAAGAAAAGATTTCTAAATTATTTTTCCACTTTCCATGCATAACTTTAATTTCTTTAAAAAGCCAGGCTGAACCATCCAACACACAGTGAGATTTCTGGGACAATTTCAGCCCTGCTCCATTCCTTGCTACTTTTTAATAAAGGAAACCAAATGTGTTCACTTTTTTTCCAAATTACTATTTCGTTTCTGTCATAAAGAGATACTACTTCTGGACATTCCTGTTTCATTTTAATTTATAATCAACACCAACTTTCTTAAAAAACACCACTACCACAACCATGTCACAGAAAAGGAATGCTGTTTCTGAACTTGAATTCTTTCCAGTAATGTCCCTCTATCATGGGAACTGCAAGATGCGCTTAGCCCAAACATCTGCTGCTGAAGCTGAGCAGCACCCAGTGTGTACAGAGGGCTGGTAAACAGGCACGTAACAACAGAGCTTTCTCTTACAGAGCCTTCATTTTCCAGCAGTCAGTGATATAACCGTTTCCTGAGGTGACTGCATGGCTACTGATGGACTTTTGTCACAAGCTACCTTTTAACCAGTTCCTAATGCTGGCCTCCTCTTATCCCATAGCAATTTAAGTTCCACAGTGTATTTCTGTTGGGCTCCTTGTTCCATTTATGTTACATTTGCTGCTTCATAATTTCATCTTGTCTACTCCATTCATGATTTTGTAAACCCTTATCTCCTGAAATCTTTCTTCCCAAGAAAGAGGTAATTCTGTGTATTATGTCCTATGTGGAAGTCTCTATCTGTTTCTAAGCATTACTGTTATTCTGTCCAGTATTCTTTTTCTAATTATCCATGTGAAATAGTGTGAAAATTTCCACAACCTCCACTATTTGAGCATGGAAATATTAATTAGTTTGTTTACAGTTATGAAGTTTCATACTACTGTAATAACTCTTAATTTTTTTGCACCTCAGTTTGGAATGCCTGAATCTGCTGTGATTGTAGAAAAACTGGGCATGAGTGGATCTCATTTCTTGGTAAGAAAATATTTCGTGAGAGCTGTCATTCAAGCATCTTTCAGCATGAGGCTTGTATTCGTTACAGTGCCAGGAAATAATCTGACATTGTCATTCTTCATACACACTTCATCAGTTGCTCTGATTTCCCATTTTAGGGGGTTGATTTACATCTCTGACTCAAGGAACACCACTGCACAACAGAAATCCTAGCCAGCCCTTCTGCCCCTCCAGAGAAAGTATAGATATGTAGAACTGGCCATTAGCACACAGCTATGGCAGGTAACGTCTCATGAAATATGACTTTGAGGGGTTGGGGTTTTTTTAAGAAAATATATATTTTTAAGCCATTATTTGTGTAAAAGCTTTTTCATAAAATTTGCACGATTAAGAACATTTACTAGTACAGAATTCTACGCGAATTTTACAATAAAAGTTTACAGATACCATGAACAATGTCTGAAAAATATCTGATAACTTCCTTTGTTGATGTCTAGAATTTTTTGCATAAAAGTGTGGTTAATTGATTGCAGCTAATTACAAGAGAGGAACAGAATAAGTCCTTGAACTGGGGCAATTCCTCTACCACTAATTCCATTTGTGTATCTATTGAAGTAAAAGATCATTGAGATGTTTTTTACAGGTCAAATAATTGTTACAATGTATTTATGCACTGCAGAGAAATCATATTTGCTTGGCACTCCACTGTTCAATGAAACTGTTTCCTGGGTGCATCAGGAGTTATATCTGCTGTTTATGTTAACAAGGTCTGCAGTTCTGCAAAGCGATTCATTAGACCACAGCTACACAAGTGCACGCAGGTTCACTTTGTTTAAAACTGCATGGCCACAGAGTAAAATTGGATTTTAGTAACCATTCATGCTAGCATAGTAGGGTTAACAAAGCTGTCAAATACAGACTAAGTCCTGTCCCATTCATGCATTATAAAATGAATCACTAAAGGTGCTGTAATATCCATTGCTGGATGCGAGTGAAGTTAAAGTTAAGGGTGAACGTGTTGACTTCTTGTGCCTGCTGCAAGTAAAGGTGTACAGCAGCAATGGAAAAGGATATGAGAAATATCTGCAGACATTAGTGGTAACCTAATCAAAACACAAGTGAAAAAAGCAAGGGGAACAATAGATGATCATTGGTGATGGTCTGTGATACAAAAGCAGGATGATTAAAAATGAAAGCATTTGCTAGCATTTTCTCCAAACTATTTATTCTTTTTAACACATCTTTGAGGGTTATTTTGCACTTCAGAAAACATGGCAGTATATGTGTGATACAAGGAGTAATATCCATTTTTTATAGTATTGTAGAGAAAATGAGACATCTCGCACACCAGTAGTACTTCTTACAGCTTTCATGTGTTCTTTAATCGAATTGTTCAGTACCATTTTCAACATGATAAAACTCTAATAAGGTATGCTTGAAACAGAATTAATTAGGAAAATATTTAAAAAATAATGATTCCAGAACCTATATCTCGCTATCATTAATAGCAATATTTGAGTAACTACAAGATGCTTTTCTCCTATGTACCAGCTAATATGTGTATTCACTTGTAAGTAATTAAATCAACTGCTCACTTTTTTATTCCAAGCTCCTAGCCTAGTATACAAGAAATCTATTCCTGGAATGAAAAGTTCCTTCTCTGTTACAAGGTGTCTGATTTAGAAAGCACACCCTTAGTAGATCCACCTTAACAATGTATGACTGAGTAACCAGGGGAATAAGGTACACAATTCTACCCATAAAATTCGAGTTTCTGTCTACACCACTTAAAGTGTGATTCCCTAACTGGATCTACTAGTTTGTGTAGAGGTGTCTGGAAATCCAAAATTCAAAAATCCTGATTCTCGTATTGTGTCTGTTTATTACCTTTGGCAGGAGCTTTAGCTTTGCACCTTAGTTTATCATTTGGTTGTAAGTGGCATATGATTTATTTCACTACTCTCTGCAAAGTCTTAAAGTTCAATATCACATTCAGACTTCAAGCTAAAAGTCGCTAGAGAAAAGCTGGCCATCTATCACTAGATAGCAGTGAACAAAAAGCCCAACAAAATCCATAAAACATAGGAGCGGCAGGTTTACCTTGACATATTAGTAATTTTTAAAAAGCAAATGCAAGTTTTCTGCTATATGTATGCACACAGAGATACTATGCACATGTGTACATCTCATGATGTATGTACACTGTTTCTATGTGTCTACCCAATGCTAGATAGATATTTAGATACAGATCTGGTTTTGCTATGAGATCTGTTAGGTATCACTGGACAGAAAATTCCTTCTAGTCCAGCAGATAAAGAAGAAAGCAACTTTCAGTGGTGTCTTAAATGTGAATTTAGGGAATTTTCCCCACTGCACATTCAGAGAGGCACAATTTTCTCTTTCACCTTTGCACAGTCTGCAAAACTGTCTTCCATCCATCTGTGTTGCTGCAGAGGTGCTCAAGAGTGCCTGCAAGGGCTGAGAAGACAATCTGAGCAGAGCCTACTCGATGCCTACCAACAGCCATTCACCATTCTCAGACAAGGCCTTCTTCTCCCCATAAAACTCCTCCAGCCAGCCCCAAACTTCTGCCATGGCACTGACACCTTAACCATATGCAGCACAGGCATTTTGCATTAGTGAGACGTGCCAGAATTCAGAGAGGCAACGCTCCTCTGGGGCGGGCAGTGCGCTGGTGGGCCTCGCTGGCAGGTACGATTCCTGGAAAGCAATGCGTGCAGCCAGCGTGCTGCAACGTTTGTCACAGGATATAACCCCCAACACACCAGATGTGCCTCTGCTTCCTCTGTGGTTTCAGTAAGGACACTCATCTTTTTAATTTTTCCAAAGAATGTTGCCAAAAGTTGGGGAAATGCTGCAGAAGGTGGTGGTGCTAAAGCCCACCACTTAACTAACACAAAAGTTCTTAGGCGGCCTTCCTGCACAACACGTCATTCGCGTCAAATGCAAATTGCATTTTAGCTGAAAGTGAATCAGATAGATATATCAATACCAAGGTCTTTCTGAAGTTTAAAATGTTCAAAGCTGATTCATACAGGCACTTTAGCCACGTAATCTGTGGTAAATTGGTCCTAACACCTTAAATCAATTTTGACTGGTTTCAGAACAGAAATAGAGTAATCAACATTTCTATGGTCATTTCTTTGAATATTTCTTGTCTTTGAGTAGCTAAAATACAAGCACTTTTATAGCAGTGTTATATTCTTTTTTATAAACATACTGAGTATCAAACTGATCTTTTATAGGAAACAAAATTACATGCATTTTCTAAAAATTTTGAAGTAATAGCTCTCTCTTTACACTTCTGTAGGATCCAAAAACACAAAAGGGTGGTATATTAGATCTGAAGTGTACCATGCAGTTTCATTTTTTATCAATAGTACTATATTTGTGATAGTTCTTCAATATGCAGGTCAGATCTGAATGATGCTGATCTAGTCCTAACGTGCAAATCAGCATTTAGCCACAGCTGCATTGCACAGAGCATATTATATGTTGTCTTGCTTTATAATGTCTGAACTTGCGACACTGTACTCTGCTTTTCAGTTCCCTGTAAGAGTAGGTTGCTTGTTTGATGAGTTTTTTTAAATTCTGTTTTGAATTCATAGTGACAGATTGAAAAAAAGAAAAGGTATAAAAAAGCAGTGAACTTTGACTTGAACTTCAGAACAGAAAAAAAGTTGACTTTCTTACTGGATTTGTATATACAAATTTAATAAAAGAAATCTCAGATATAGCAAAATGGTCAGACTGATTCTAAACAACTTTCATGTATTTCTCCTCTTTCTTGCTATTTCAAAATGTGACTTAAATCGCATGGCTGGAATATGAGTGCCTTGGAGAAAACCAGACGCATTTTCTTCACCAATAAGATATTGGGGATTTTTGAGTAATATTTAGAGAACAGAACCTGTGTCTTGCTGTGGGAGATTTGTACCTCCCTGCAAGTGCAAAACACTGCCAGAGCTTGCCAGGTTCAACTCACTGAGGCTGTACTTTGACATCCATTTATGTCAGCACTGCTACTGAGAAAAAGCAACTACCGTCTCACTTGGATGCTTCTTCGCATCCCTGCAATGCAGAAGCAGCAGACGGGAAAGGACAGGAACCATATCTGCTTTCTCTAGTGACCACAACGACCAAACACACCACACCTAGAGCTCCTCTGTTGCTACGTAAATGCTGCAGCGTCCCACAAGACTTAAATTGCTTCCCCAGTTTCAGTTAAGAGAGTGTTTCCTAATACTGCGAGTGGTATTTTAGCAGCGTGGGATATGGGAATAGGTGTAAGGACAGATTAAAACTGGTTTTGCCTGCTTGGATATCTGTTAGGAAAGAGCTAACCAGCATCAGGTTCTGTCCAATTAGATCTGCCATCCATACCTGTATATTTGGAATATCTTGAGTTTCCAGTGGAAAAAAAATGTTTTCCAGGTCCTACATAAACAGCAGAAATAAGAAAATTAAATAATAGAAATTAGAAGCTTAAACAACAGAAATATGAACTTGCTGAGTACTTCTTCATAACCTAATTCCTCTGGGAAAGGGCCAAAAAACTCTTGCAGTGTTTTCCCCAGGTATTGAGCAAGCATAAAAAGCTTGCATATGGCTGAGGTTCAGAGACATGATGCAAGTTGCAGGTACTGTTGAGTCACATTCTCGGGCTGGCTGTTGACAGCTAAATGCCACAATTCCACAGCTAGGTTTTAATAGTATACTGCTTATCTCAGAAAGCCATAAAAAAAAGTCTTTTTACCATCACACAAAACCTCAATACTAACACTTTGGGGTACCCAAGTGTTTTGTGTGAGTAGAAATGATGTAGGCATTGTTTATCCCGCCTTTGGCGAACACACAAGGTCCCCACAGTAAAAACCAACAATTGTTCACCACAGGAAAGTAATGTTACTAAAATACGTATTTTCAGCTGCAAAACATTATTAGGCCATGTAACTGCACTAATTTAATTGCCTTTTTGCACAATTTCTATTCCTCTGACA